GAGATATACAAAGAAGTTAATGTTGTTTTCATGCCTGCTAATATGACATCCATTCTGCAGCCCATGGATCAAAGGACACTTTCAACTTTCAAGTCTTATTTAACAAATGCATTTTGTAAAGCTATAGCTACCATAAACAGTGCTTCCTATGATGGATCTGAGCAAAGTAATTTTAAAATCTTCTAGAAAGTATTCACCATTCTAGCTGCCATTAAGAACATTTGTGATTCATAGGAAGAGGTCAAAATATTAACATTAACATGAATCTGGAAAAAGTTGGTCCCAAATCCCATGAAAGATTTTGAGGAGTTTAAGACTTTGGTGGAAGAAGTAACTACGATTGTTGTAGAAATGGCAAGAAAACTGGCGTTAAAAACAGAGTCTGAAGATGTGACTTAATTTGTTGTAATCTCAGGATAAAACTTTAACAAATGAGGAGCTGCTTCTTATAGATGGGCGAAGAAAGTGGTTTATTAAGATGAAAACTACTCCTGGTGAAGATGCTGTGAACATTATTGAAGTTTCAAATAAAGTTTTAGAATATTACATAAAATTAGTTACTAAATACAGACAGGGTTGAAAGGTTTGACTCCTATTTTGAAACTTCTACTGTAGGGGTAAAATGTTATCAAACAGTGTCACGCATTACAGAGAAATCATTCATTAAAGGAACAGTTAATTGATGCAGCAAACTTCATTGTCTTTTTTTTTTTTTTTTTTTTTTTTTTTGAGACGGAGTCTCGCGCTGTGTCACCCAGGCTGGAGTGCAGTGGCGCGATCTCGGCTCACTGCAAGCTCCGCCTCCCGGGTTCACGCCATTCTCCTGCCTCAGCCTCCCGAGTAGCTGGGACTACAGGCGCCCGCCACCACGCCCGGCTAGTTTTTTGTATTTTTAGTAGAGACGGGGTTTCACCATGTTAGCCAGGATGGTCTCGATCTCCTGACCTCGTGATCCACCCACCTCGGCCTCCCAAAGTGCTGGGATTACAGGCTTGAGCCACCGCGCCCGGCCTTCATTGTCTTATTTTAAGAAATTGCCACAGCCACCCAAACCTTCAGTAACCATCACCTGATCAATCAGCAGCCATCAATATTCAGGCAAGACCTTCCACCAGCAAAAGCATTAGGACTCACTAAAAGCTCAGATGCTTGTTAGCATTTTCAGCAATGAAGCATTTTTAAATTAAAGTGTATACATTTTTGTCTTTAGACATAATGCTGTTACACACTTAATAGACTCCAGTATTATGCAAACATGACTTTTATTGTTCAGGAAACTAAAAAATTCATGTCTCATCTGATGGAGATATTTGCTTAATGCAGTGGTCTGGAACCAAACCTACAATATCTCTGCAGAATGCCTGTATATCCTTAAAAGACCTTTTTGTAACTGCGTGTCCTTTGCCTATTTTGGGATTAGCAGAAAAAAAATCCCAAGAAATAGCTAGGTGTGTTATAGACCTGAAGAGGTCAAAATCCCTGATTTATCCAATGTTAAAAGGTGGATTTGACTAAAATATTGTTATTTAGTTGGTTGACTTTGCATTATATTAGATCTAGATGTGGCCAAATATGTTGCTATACAAAAAAGGAGTCTGTGAGAATCAATGCAACTGTTATTCATCACCAAGACAGGTTACTAAGGCTGTAGGTACAGAGTTAGTGATGCTCATGACTGAGGAGAAAGAGGAAAGGGCTTCAATGACCAGTTCTCATGAAGAATTCTGTTTGCACAGTATAGATGCTGATTGCGGTCACTTACACTCATCCCCTGGCCTTGTCATTTCATATGCTTTTAGCATTCACGTTTCCTTAGTCCTAAGGTTTTTCAATTACCTCCTATTTCTAATTCTTTCACCCCAGGCTAACTTTCTTATGCTTGCTCACCTGTTAACAGCTGTAGCATCTCATAGGCAATACTATGGGTTTGGATCCTGTTGGAGCCAGAAAGCTCCCTCCATGGCAAGACCTTCCATCTGCTAGGTGCCTGTTTGCATAAGATTTTAAAAACTCATTTATTTAAATAATACTTCCAGCTTTCACAGGTTTCCTTGCTTCAAAGAGAGATATTTAATGCAACCTCTGGCTTCCAGATTCTTCATACACCTGGATATATTTATTGCTATTCTAACTCTTCACTCCTAGCATTGCCTTAAGTACTTCAGAAAAAAAAAAGCACTTTTGTTCTTGTCTAAAACGGTTTAAATATTAAGCTCTTCAAAATATATTGTTCATTTTAGTAACAATCTACTTAACAAATAGTTGAGATAGTAACCTCTCAAATTAATTCAACCGTGCTTGCAGGTGAATTCTATGTAAATCAAGCAAAACTTAGGTGTGAGTGATGTTTCAATGACACTGTTTTTGGTGGCTGCACACATACTTGGTCAAAGTGGAATTATCTTCTTCAAATGTCTTTAAATAAATGAATTGAATGAATGTATCTAAATGAAAACATTACTAAAGAGGGCTGACCTAGCAAAAAGTTTATATGAAAGTATCTCAACAGTGACAACTACTTGAAGACTGCTCCGAAGATATCTAGAAATAGAGCATCTTTAAGTATTTGAAGGCCTACAGTCTGCCTTGCCCAAACTCAAGTAGTCTCAGCAGATTCTCTTTCCAAAGTTTTTCAACAACCCCACTGCCTTCCCCTCTTTTGCTTTTTTTTTTTTTTTAACTGTAAGTTCTGGAATACATGTGCAGAATGTGCAGGTTTGTTACATATGTATACATGTGCCCTGGTGGTTTGTTGTACCCATCAACCCGTCATCTAGACTCTAAGCCCTGCATGCATTAGGTATTTGTCCTAATGCTCTCCCTCCCCTTGATCCCCACCCCCTGACAGGCCCCAGTCTGTGAGGTTCCCCTCCTGTGTTCATGTGTTCTCATTGTACAACTCCCATTTATGAGTGAGAACATGCGGTGTTTGGTTTTCTGTTCCCATGTTAGTTTGCTGAGAATGATAGTCTCCAGCTCCATCCATGTCTCTGCAAAGGACATGAATTCATTGTTTTTTATGGCTGCATAGTATTCCATGGTGTATATGTGACACATTTTCTTTATCCAGTCTATCACTGATGGGCATTTGGGTTGGTTCCAAGTCTTTGCTATTGTAAATAGTGCTGCAATAAACATACATGTGCATGTATCTTTATAGCAGAACGATTTCTAATCCTTTGGGTATATACCCAATAATGGGATTGTTGGGTCAAATGGTATTTCTGGTTCCAGATCCTTGAGGAATTGCAACACTGTCTTCCACATGGTTGAACTAATTTACACTCTCAACAGTGTAAAAGTGTTCTTATTTCTCCACATCCTCTCCAGAATCTGTTGTTGCCTGACTTTTTAATGATCACCATTCTAACTGGCATGAGATAGTATTTCATTGTGATTTTGATTTGTGTTTGTCTTTTTGCTTTTAACTCTGACTCTTCTAACTACCCCTACTTCCTACTACCATACTCAACAGTGGTATTTCCAGACCAAGCTTTCCAGAAGCATAATGTAGGACTTAGAATATTGCTGGCATTCTGCTAGCATATAATTTTCACTTTTAGTGATATCTATTCCTTCACATTTTAGAGTATATTGAATGTATACATATGCCTCCTATATTGTTTTTATGCATGCTGGCAAAATTGCTAACTATGCATAGCAAGATTACAACTTATTGTAGAATAGGGATTGTTCATATTTGTGTCAGTTATAAGAAATAAGTGAAAATCCTTTTATCAATAAGAAATAAATTTAGTTCATTTTCCAATCAGAAAACTTTATCTGAGAGCTATATTATAAAAGCAGTGCCAGTGATTAACTACCTGCAATGATCTTCTCTTCCACGTGGCAGCATGTAAGCATTAGGGAAAGAATGAATTTCTCAGTTATAGGATGTATTTGTAAAAAAGGAAAAGATGTAAAAGATACAAGAAGAGCAAAGTCTTCTCTTTAATAGCTGTTTCCTACTTATAGGGGCAGGAAATAGTCATAGGCACTAGAGCCATTTCCCCTTATTTGGGATCAAAAGCTGTAACCAAAGTCTATAACCAAAGATACATGGGACTCCATTGTCTCCTTGAAAGTTCCTGAGTAGGAAAATGAGGCAGAATTTTAACAGGGAGGAAGAATATTCTAGGAGGGAAAAGGAAGACTGAGTTTTCCATATGACCCATCTAGGGGATTCAGATTCTATCCTAGGAGCCCCTAACTCACCAAAACTATCCAAGCAATGGTCCAAATTTTCAAGTCACAAAATAAATTTGACAAGAGATCTCAGTTTGAATTGATGATCAACGAGTTGACTTGCCACTTTGTTAATTTCATGAAACCATAAAATTATTAGAGTTTGGTTTAAAGTTAGAATTTTTTATTTTTATTTATTTTTATTTTAAAAATGTTTTACAGAGATGGGATCTGACTTTGTTTCCAAGGCTGGTCTCAAACTCCTGGACTCAAACAATCCTCCCAACTCAGCCTCCTAAAGTGCTAGGATCACAGATGTGAGCCAGTATGCCTAGTCTATGGTTAGAATTTGATTTAAGATTGAGATTGAAGAGAATCTGGGAACTGAATTTAGAAATGTTAAGACTCTTGAAAATCTTACTTTATGGAGCAAGTAATACTCATCAGACTTGTATTCTGCATTAATTTTAGTCAAGGTCAATGTTGTTCTTAGAAATTACCTGTCTTCAATGGAAATTAAAATTAATGTTGTATTATTTTCATTATGCTACCCCTAAAACCTGGCCTTGATCAAAAAAATAAATAATTAGTAATTAAATATAAGAATAAAAGTATGACCGGACTTCAACATATCGCTTCAGGTCTGGAGCCAGCAAGTAACTAATAGTATTTAATAGGGTGAAAGCTTTACTGTGACTTAGAAAAGAATCAATAATGTAATATCAAAATGTAATGTAATCAAAAATGTCTTTCATTGCTGTTTCTATACTGTGTTAGTTCATATGCATTACTGTAAATGTATACCTGAGACTGAGTAATTTATAAAGAAAAGAGGTTTATTTTAGCTCATGGTTCTGCAGACTGTACAAGCATGGCACCAACACCTGCTCAGCCTCTGGTGAGGGCCTAGGAATCTTCCAGTCACTGCAGAAGGTGAAGGAGGAAGCAAGTGCATCACATGGAGAGAGAGGGAACAAGCAAGAGAGGGGTGAGGTGCCACACTCTTTTAGACAACCTGTGAACCCCGAAGTGGAACTCATTCATTACCATGAAAAGGGCACCAGGCCATTCAGGAGGGATCTGCCCCCGTTACCCAACATGATCCTCCAGGCCCCACCTCTAACTTTGGGGATCACATTTCAACATCATATTTGGAGGGGACAAACATCCAAACAGTATTATATACATACATGAGAGAAGGTAAGTGGAAATATAAAATGAACTGAATGTGTGTCTTATATTCTTGCTATATGAGGACACTTACTTTTATAGCTACATTGTTTGTGGATTTCAGAGTTATTTACCTTAACCTACTGAAGATAGGTTTGCAGAGAACTGCTCCCTCTGTGTACCTAACAGTTCACTTTACCTACACATCATCCATTGATGGCTTGTGCAAATTTCAGTTACATGTTCCTTGAGATTACACCAAACTGTGAAATTTGGCAAAATAACCAAATCTACATAAATGTTAGCAAGTGTCTAAAGTTATTTCCTTATTTCCCTGTCATTGTTTTCCATTCTTTTACAATGATCAATTAATTACAACTTAGGGCCAAATTATGTATCCACAGAATTTTAGAGCTCAGACATGGATATAGAGAAACAAAAATATTAAATTGGTTTCCTCCAATTATATATTACCTTTAAAACAGCCCATTCTTATTTGTAACTTGCCATAAAGTATTTTTTAGAAATATTTTTCTACCATTCTACAAAAAAAGTTGTAAATTTTAATACCACTATTTCCTTATTAAATTAAATTTTAGTACAATTCAAGGCAAACAGTACAGGCCCAAAACATCTATGTTAATCCACTGAACCTAGTGTCTCTAAAGAAAACAGTACGGACTGTGCATAGTGGCTCACGCCTGTAATCCCAACACTTTGGGAGGCCAACACAGGCAGATCATCTGAGGTCAGGAGTTTGAGACCAGCCTGGCCAACACGAAGAAACCTCGTCTCTACTAAAAATACAAAATTAACCGGGCATGATGGCGCATGCCTGTAGTCCCAGCTACTCAGGAGGCTGAGGAGGAGAATCGCTTGAACCCGGGAGGCGGAAGTTGCAGTGAGCCGAGATCATACCATTGCATTCCAGCCTGGGTGACAGAAAAACATGATGGCCATCATTATATCTCAAAATTTATTTTACTAATATTACATTTTAAGGTGTTAGAAAACCCATTGCAATACCATATGAGAAGTTTCTATTCAAAATGATTTAGCTTTTAAGAGTTATCAGATCTGTTATTGGCTAATAATGAGAAAATTATTTTCTTCTAAATCTTTTTATTAGGCACAATCTAAAGCAATTTATCCTTATTTAAAAGCTATGGGAACTTATATAAAATAACAAATAAAAGTTGGTAAATCTTCATTTGCTATTTAACTGGTCTAATGATTATATTTCTAATAACTTTTTAAAATAACTTTTTTTGCTTTTTAAATGTTGGAAAAATAATCAAGGTTAAAATATTTAAGCCTTACTCTCTGTGTCCCTGGCTTCTTTAAATTTTTTTCTCAATTATATGAAGTACTCTGCTATAGCATTATAGCCCTAAGATTTAATGGAGTTTCATTTAATTCTGTGGCCTCAAATTTTTAATGATTGTGAAAAATGATAATATGGATCATGAGATATATATAATAAAAGTATTCGTTGTTTTGTTTGACTCTGTTTAAAGTAACTAAGAACAATACTGTTCTTTTAAGAGCTCACAGTGGTAATCTGAAATTTAAAACTGGTCGTGAGTGGCTACACACCATTTCACATGAAGGCTGGCCTCCATCCTAATTGGTCAGGCAACTGTCTTATTGGTCTGTGTTCATATATGTTGTTTTGAATATCATCCCTGAATATAACTGTACTTTCTCTAAGCCAGTCTCGGCAAAGTGTTGATTTATGAACAAGCACACAAACTGAAACTCATCAATCTGACATCCAAAATGCACTAAAAAGTCATCTTTACTGCAGTCTACAGTGATGGTATTAATTGTGTGCCTTTCAAAGTATCTATGCATTCGAGCAGCAGCTTTCAAATCTCTCTGTTGCAACATCCCTTACTTTCTGGCATGCATATTTTCTCACACTTTCCTGTCTATGCAGGTATTCCTCCTCCACTCCTGCCCACTGCTCCAACCATGCAGAGAATCTCTTCTCTGCTTGACATCCATCAGAGGAGTCTTTTTCAGTTTAGAGTATGTGCCAACGTTTCTCCATCCTCCTTGAAAGGACTCTTTCATTACCTGTCATTTGCTTGTCGGTGCTCCTCCAGATCCATCTTGTCTCCTCTTCATCCAGTATTAACAACAACAAAACTCAAGAGTCAAGGAGACAAATACAGAAATCTTCCTGAATGAGGAGAATGACAATTTTAAACACTTAAAATATAATATTTTGCCCCTTTCACACAAAATAATTGCTAGTTGACACATTTGTTCATACATCACCATTTACAATGTCTTAATTATTTGGTTATTTTAAAACTGCTCTGTCCACTCTTTTTGGAGAAAAGCTCACTTCCATTTTATTTTCCCCAGGATACCAAATATGCAGCTTAGTGAATTTTGTCCCTTCTCAGCATTTGTTAGGCATTTATAATTTGTATATGATACCCCCACCTTTCTGGCATGAGACAGTGGCTTTTCCTGCCCAGCCTTGCTACTTCAGAACACCTTGATAAGGTGTTGGGAGAGTGGAGAAAGTGGATGGATTATAAATTTTGCTCTTACTCATTGAATTGTAAACCACTTGCTCCTGAAAGGTTTCAGTTTGAATTCGCCAGCTTCTAGGACTGCAGAAAATGATTCACTCTGCATGGGAAAGTCTCCTGTGAGGAATAATAATCACACGTATAACAGACCAAAAGTAAGAATCATTGTTAAGGCACCATTTCCATTGGTATGGCATTTTCTGAACCAAAAGGCTAGTGCAAGACTGACTCAAAGATAGGCCTGTTACTGTTTTATTTCTTCAAATAGCTATTCTGCAGAAGGTATTCCTCAGAGACATCACCAAATACTGACCCAGGCTATTCCTGCTTAGCTTAGCCTGACAGTTTCAGTATTTTAGTTTTATTGCCTTAGCTGGGGGAAAAATCCTACTTTGCCTTCTCTTAACATATTAATAGTGTGGGAACACACTGCTGTCACCCTTGCTTCTCAACAGTTTAAGATGAAGTTGTTCTCTAAATGAGTCAGTGTTGACTGGTTGGCTGGCCCTTGTCAGGCTTCAACTGTCAATCATAAAAGAAAAACTTCTCAAGTGCTATGTGAAAAAGTTGTCCTAATACAGCATTGTGCAAAGACGGGCATAAATAAAATATTTGACAACAAGATTTCCTGGAGCTGCTGAAGTTCACGGTTACTGGAGAAGGATATTTTAAGTTATCCAGAGGATTTTCACTAAACATTGAAATATCATTAAGCCAGCAATGACAGTTGAGTGTGATTAGCGTTCTGACAGAGGACAGAATACTAGAGGATATAAGAGGAGTGTCTAAATCAGACATGAGAGATGAAGGCTGGCTTCCCTCATGAAGTCATGTATAAACTAGAACCTAAATGAAAGGTGGGCAAGATTTAGCCAAGCAAAGAGGTAAGAGAGACTTTTATCAATGATCTACCTCCCCCAACCTCCTCTTTCAAACAAAGAGCTATGAAAGGGTAAAAGAGTATGCAAATCATCTATGTGCTTAGAGAGGCCCACATAGCTTAGATCCGAACTGAGATAACATAAATTATTAATTTTTTATTTTCATGTTTATGTTACTTTAAGTTCTGGAATACATGTGCTGAATATGTGGGTTTGTTACACAAGTATACATGTGCCATGGTGGTTTGCTGCACCTATCAACCCGTCATCTAGGTTTTAAGCCCTGCATGCCTGAGATATTTGTGCTAATGCTCTCCCTCCCTTTGCCCCCAACTTCCCAACATAAATTATTTAAGGTCATTGTATGTGCATTGATTACAAATTTGAAGAAATACACCACTGTCAGAAATAGGTCCTCACTAGCACCATGAGGCCATTAGGACCTTCAGGAATAAATACCTAAGTCAGAGGGCCAAACTCATCAGTTTAGAAACTGGCCCAAAACTAATTCTTCCCCACAGAGAGAACGACTCATTTTGTGGTCATTTTTTCTCTTATTTGACCTGACAATAATAGACAGAAACAGCCACCTTTCTTCAATCTAAACACAGGGCAACTGCACACTGTCCTGCCAAAGATTTCAAGACTGAACGTGTTTATCTCATTTCACAAATAGTTTGTACCTCCTGTCTATGGTTTTCCAAAATATTATCCTCCTATGTTGTGCCTCCTCATGCCACTGACTTAAGCTTTCAAAGCATACCCCCAATGACATGGCTGTTCCCATAGCATTTTCAAAGGATATTTATTCCCTCTTTACCCGTATCAAGTGATAGGGTCAATGTTGTCACTTTCTATTTCATTGTGCAAACCATTGTGCATGAGCCCTCTTTACTTAGTAACTCATTCCTTCTGGAAGTTTCCCTCTCTTCCTCCTCTTCACAGTCGTCTATCACAGCTGGGCTCACTCCTTTCTATCTACCTCTCACACAAGAAACTCAACATACTGGACTTTCAGTTTCTTTGTTTTCTTTAGTTGTGTGGAGAAAATATATCATATAGACAAAATAATGTTTAAACTGTTTCTGTTCATTTCAATAAGAATAATATAATGAACACCTACATACCAACACTGATAGTCCTCTGGTTAAGGAATGGATCTTTCCTTAAAGCCAGTTGTGTGCCCATCTCCATCATGTCTTTGGCAGCACACCCCCCCCATCACCCCTTGCCTATTATTTCTATTCATTTGTCTTCATTGTACCACCTATGAATAATCAAAAGAATTTATTGTTTTTAACTTTGTTCATTCTTGAGATTTATACACATGAAATTATACTATATGTATTTTTGTGTGCATACAACAACTTTGTAGGGTAAGTTCGGGTTAAATCTCAAAATCTTGACATAAGGGCTGTGATGGCTATTGTTTACTCATTTCATTTTTGGATAGTACTAAATTGTGTGACTACACCATAATTTAGTAATCTGCTCTATATTAGTTGTAAAAATGGTCAAAGGAAAATATCTAAAATAAATTTTTTAAATGCATTACAGAAATTAGCATGAAAATTGGTAGAGGTTCTAACATATATATAACTGGAGATTCAGAAGGAGGAGGGAGATATAAAAAAGTAGAAGAAATATTTAAAGAGATGATGACAGAACTTTTCAAAACCAGTTATTTTGGACTGAAGGCTTATGTCCCCCCACAAATTCATATGTTGAAGCCCTAACCCCCATTGTATTGGTATTTCGAGAAGGGGCCTTTGAAGGTAATCAAGTTCAAAAAAATCATAAGGATGGTGCCCTCATGATGGATTAGCATCCTCATAATAAGAGGAAAAGAGACCAGAGCTCTCTCTCCCTTTCTGCTGCTTGAGAATACAGCAAAAAAGGAGTTGTCTGTAAAACAGGAAGAGGTCCCTCACCAGGAACCTAATTATACTGTCACCCTGATTTTGGACTTGCAGCTCCAGAACTGTGAGAAATAAAGTGTTTGTTGTTTAAGCTACCCAGTTTATGGTATTCTATTACACCAGTGCAAACTGACTAAGACACCAATTAGGGAAGCCCTAGGAACCCAAACAGGCTAGTAATAAACAAAACCACAACTAAGGGTACCTAGTAAAGTTACTTATACCAGTTAACATCAATTTTCCTACTCCATCATGGCTATGGTCTCACTCCAAGAAGGGTTTAAAAGAGAGGACTTCACAGATCTGAGTTCAGACACCATATTCCTAGAATTTCCCTTTAATGCACATAGATTAAATTAAGAAACTACATTCTATTTCTAAAGTGGAAATATTACCATGACATTCTCCTGCTCAAAATTCTTTAGTGATTCCTGTTGGTCCAGTATAACACTCATTGCCCAAAACTACTATTTCACTTGATAAAATTATACACATGCTTTAAAACTCAAAATCGAGGCTAATTTTTTATTGCTGTGTTTTCTAACTTCCTACTCCCATTCTGGGTGAGCTACTGACACTCTCTAGGTCTATAGCACACATGACAGCATTTACACTATTCAATTATGCTTGTTAACTGGTATCTCCTCACCCCTCCACACACATATACTCTAATATAAACCTCTTGAAATCAGGACGATGTATTTTACATCTGAATCTCCAGTATTTAGGACAATCATAATGCTTTATAAATATCTGAGGGTAAATGAAAGGCTTAATGACTACTCCTTTGGGCAGCATCTTGGCTGCTGTGTTACAGTCACTTATTCTGATTTTGGACTATTACCCACTTCTGAGTTGCAATATGCCTAGTAGTCAAGCATAAACAACTAGTAAGCTCAAAGCAAAATGATCAAACCAAAAAATCACTTTTGAGCAAACCAACAAATAAATTGAATTTTGTTTAAAAAAATGCTTTTGAAGACTAAGCCATTTTCCGTATATCCAGACTCCTTAGCAAGATCTAAAAGAGCGTAAGTTACAGTTTGCCAAATTATGTAGATACACTGCATATAGCATAATAAACATTTTAATTTTACTTTTATTAAAACTGAAGATCATCTTCCTTATTAAAGTTTTTGCAAAATCAAACTGTTGAGATGAAATGTAACACTTTCATTTGTATCAAGCTATCCAATAAACCAAATAAAACACTTTGCTCTTCGGTGTGCCTGATGAATATATTCAATGCTTTCAAGTGGTAAAGACGTGTCATAGATGTTGCTGTTGCCCCCTGCAGATCTCCTTGATCAGGCAGGCCTATGCACACCACTGCCACTGTTGGCTGTTACCCACAGATTTTCTTTATTCAGGGAATGACTTTAGTTCTACATTCCCTCTGACCTTCTTCCACATTAACTATTGACTAATTGATAGGCCCACTTTCCTCAAGATGGAAACCACGTTCATGCATAATTCCTATCCAAAGCTTCTCAGGGGATCAGACTGAAGCTGGACTTCAACTAAAGGGCAACCTTGCTTAGCTCCTTCTCCTGACCTAGGATACTGCCTTCATTCTCTTTCTCCAGAGAGTGCACCCTCCATAGCTCCTTCTCCTGACCTAGGATACTTCCTTCATTCTCTTTCTCCAGAGAGTGCACCCTCCATAAGCAACTTGAATGAAAATCCCTCCTCAAACTCTGCTTGTAGGGAAACTCATCTAAGACAAACTATTCTAACTAATAAATTGTCAAATATTTTAGAAGTCATTGCCTATTTAGTTTGGTAAGAACAGTACAGTATTCCTGACTTTTCTTACAATAATTGGAGAAAATAATGATTGGAGAAAAATAATACTCAAGAGTTGTAGGTGAGATACAGTTGGGGAAAATCTTTGAGAAATGAGAGAAAAGGAAAATGCAAGTAGAATGGCAATTGGATCCAATTCAGCATGTGCCATAGCTGAATAAGTACAGTTTCAGAAAAAAATAAGAGGAGTATATTATAAAGAAAATAATTTCAAAACATTCTAGAGGGATATCTGAAGGATATGCGTTTTCTCCTTGGAATACTCACCAAGTGTTCAGTAAGAGAGATGAGAAAAGATTAATGACAAGGAATGCTGTTACAAACATTTAGGAAAGAAATGTCATTGGATTCTTCCACAGTCACACTAGAAAAAAGACGATGGAGCCAACGTAACATGCTTTCAGTCACTATATTCTCAATTTTCAACTTAGAATTCCATACTGAACTGTACTCTCAATCTAATATGAAGGTAGAATATGTACTTTTTTAAATATGCAATTCTCAAGTTCTCAAAAGATTAATCAGATAGCTTGTATCCTTTGCCAGGAAGCTTCTAAAGGATATATTTTAACAAAATGAAGAAGTAAATCAAGAAAAAATCCAGAACATCAAGGATGCCTCATGGAGAGGCAAATGAAATCCCAGGATCATGATAAAGAGGGGCTCCAAAGACATATTCTGAAAGTTAGAACATATTTGGAATAAATTTATTTTTCTCAGAAAGAGTTTAGAGATGAGTAAGTGAAATGTACACTGAAAATATGCAAAGAAAAAAGAAAATTATTGAACCAAAGCAAAACAAAAAGCTACTCAAGAATATAACAATTTCAGGAATTTGGATATGTCTTGCTCCTACATACACAAAATTCTATTTACATGCTGTGCTCATCCAATTCAAATTTTCTAAATATATCTATCTTCTGGCCTATCAATGGTTTCTCATAAAGAATAGAAGGACCAAAAGGACAGTGTGCAAAATCTTAAACTCCAAATGACATCTTAATCTACGACAGACTCTGCCTCCAAGGTAAGTTCTGAAAAACCTATTCTATTTTTCCACATAGTTCTAATAAACTGCATCTATCTGGCCTGGTTATAAGATGTCAACATCAGAATGTTTCTATCCTAGTTGTGTTTATCTAACAATGATGGGAAAAACTAAAAGTAAAAAATAATAAGTTAGCAATGAGTTAGATGAGGTTCCACATTATTCAGTCTTTGCTAAACCAATATATATTACCTTCGTACTTCTTAGCAAGTTTTTTTTCCTGTTTGACCTACCTCATAAAGCTTTACATAAAACAAAATTGATATAATTCTAGGTATAAATAAATGTGTCCATATAACATGTTTCTGAATGAAATATAGAAAGAAAAATTTCTTTTTATACCTATGGGTATTAAAAATAGACAAGTTTAGGTAACTAGGTAATCATTGCTATTGCTTATTTGTAATATGGGTAAAACCTTGTGATTTTACAAATTGAGGTGGCATAAGAACTACTGAGAACTACAGAAAAAATTACAATGTCAATATAACATGGATGTCAAGGGAGAACAGTACACAACAGAAAGTTTATATCTGTACAAAATGACCTACTTCATATAAGATAACATTAAATTACTGCAGGGATGAGTGTCAGACAATATAAAATGCCTATTTGTCCCATGCAACCTACTTTTACTTTGAGCTTTTCTGAATGATTTCTTATCAGAGAAACTACAGTTCATGGTCACACTAATTTAAACACATGTATTATACAAAATTATGTGTAATTTTCATTGTGAAATTTATTTTAGGTATGGATTTTTTGTCTTGAGGATTCTTTTTAACAGGCATGGTGTTGAGAGAATGATTTCTAAATAGTTTATCATGTTTTAACAATCGTGAATGGTGCAAACCTGTACTTTTTTTCAGCAGTTTAATCACAGAAATTTCAGGTAAGCATTGGTTGTAGATAGTTTAAACCCTTCCTCTTTATTAAGTTCATTCCCATTTATTTCTGTAATTTTGTTACTGTAAGCCATGGGTTTTCACTATAATAATTTTAATCAGTTTACTGATTATTTAAATTATATTTGGTGATTGGAGTATATTGATTTCATACCTGTATCACTCTACTCACGGTCTTTTCACTGCCCAGAAATGCCTCAAACTACATCTCTGTAGTTCTAAATTCTGACTACCTATTCCTATTAAAATGTCAGTTTCTCCACAACATCACCTCTGATCTCTCAGCCCAGAAGGAATTTCTCCCTGTCCCTAAAATCATAGCAGTTTAGCTTTGTCACCTGAAACAACACCTAACATTTTCCATCTTGCACTTTGCCCTAGAATCCTTCTTTGAGGGACGAAGATTTATCCGTTTATACTTCAAGTATTTATTCTATTGGAAAATTCATGGCATTTGCTTAAGAAAATCTCTGGAAAAACAGGTACTTGAAAAATCCATAATTTGTATCCTGACCATGAAAAGCAGTGGCCAGAAATAAACGTTATTTTCAACATATGGCTTAAATTAAGCCGTCGATCGTAAAAGCTGGGATTATTTAAACAAATGACTGCTTCGGACATCTGTTACCAACTGATGCCGCACAAGTACTACAAAATCTCCCTCTGTATAATTCCTTAAACATGGAATGGGAGTAAAAGCAGGAGGTGGATGGCAACTTCCCTACATGCAATCAATAGGCTGATTTTAGAGACTCACTTTATACTCTCATTCCTCTCAGACCTACCCAAGTCTCATAACGCAAGGAATTAATTATACAACTTCAGGGATCTAAATCTAGTTTCTCCTAGCAAAATGGTTAGGGACAATTTTCAGGTACTTCATTAAGATGAGAGAAAGTGAGATAGAAAGAAATTTGAAGAGAAATCAAGAAAGAGAGAAAAAGAGAGAGATTCTAATAGTTTCTGAAAGCGTTATTGTTTTCTATTTCCTATTAAACCTACAATCCATCTTGAAATGATTTGCTTTGCATGGTATAAGTAGGGAATTGCCACTTATTTTTATTTCTATCTAGACCTTTAACTAACCCAGCACCATGTATTAAAATGACCATTCTTTTCCCCCTGCACTGCCATGTCACCTTTGTTATAAATCAAATGATCATATACATGTGATTTCTGAAACAGTTATTCTGCTCCATTGCTCAATTTGTCTACCCTTCTGTTAATACTTTAGTCTTAACTACTATTGTCAAATAATAAATCTTATATCTGGTATATAAATCTTCCAGCTTTGTTCTTGCTCAAGATTGCCTTGATTCATGGCCTTTGATTTTCCATGAAAACATTAGAAATAACTTGTCAATTTTCCCCAGACAAACCCTGCTAGAATTGTGATTGCAGTAAACGGGAGAAAACTGACTTCTTAAAAACATTTAATCTTCAATTCCATTTATATGACATATTATTTCATAATCAAATTCAACTAAATTATTATTTAGACATAGGTTGTGGTCAATACTTCCTCCCAACCTCCTTGTTTGCCTATTACTGTAAAAGTTGATAAATACAAATATTCAATTTTCTAATGTCCTTTATGGCCAGGAACATCATGTGACATGGTGCTGACTTACGGGACACAAAAGGAAAACTAAAAAGCATTTTACATGCTTAATAAAAAGGAAGAAATGTGACTAGCATTCTATTTTCCCTTTGGTTATGTCTTAAATGCCTGAGGGATTAATTCAACCATCCAAAGAAATTACCAGCCCAGACACCAATGAACCAAGTTAAGGCCAATTGCGGAATACCTTCAAGTTATTACTACATTAAGAAAAAAAACTTTATTTATCCATATTTAAGTTAAGGTTAGCTAGGGAGAATCTATTGCCAACTAATACTAACATATTGGAGAGGAAAAAGAAAAGTACCAGATTAGAAAACTATGCCTTTTTTCTAGTCTCTCATAACTAAAACTTCTAATAAAAAAATACGGAGCTTTCATTCTACTATAAATTATAAGTAAGTGCTAAAGAACTACTCTAAATGATAATATTATTTTCTAGGTTATCTATAAAATCTGCATATATTAAAAATTATTAGAACATTGATTCTTACTGCAATGTCTTGTTTGACTCCAAAAAAGGAACTGTAATATTTCTTTCTTCTGACTAAAAATTTTATGAGTTACTCCCAATATCTCTGATTTTTAAGACGAATAAAACAAAAACTCTTATGGATGGTAAACAGTGTTCTTACTTTAAATATTTATTCATTTACAATGAATTAGTGATTTACCAACTATTACTGACTGCTTCTGCTTTCAATTATTTTTCAATATTAATATTTTGAAACATTTCAATATATATTTTATTTACTTACATTTTATAACTACATGCAAATAACAAAGTATTCTAAAAATTATTCCAAATAGCATGTGCTAGATAAAAGCACAATGCATCCAGGGACTAATATGTATTTCATAGATATGAATTTATATTTATTTGAAAAGTTGCAACAGAATCGCCTCTCAAAGACATGGAATTATTTTCCCAGAATTCTTGGATCCATAAAGACTTATATTTAAACTTTTTCTCTAAATACTACATTTATGCTTATTTGGAACAATCGCTCTGTGTCCATTTGAGTCACTAAAAGATCTCTGCTTATGGTAATTTGGAAGGCATTTTGCCAGGGTAGTACTAATAAAAAATGGAACTAATGAAACCAGACTATACTCCATAGCCCCCAAGGTATGACTTTATACCTACCTGGGTGGAAATACCTATGGTAGGTTTCAAAACAATTCTATAAAGAGACTATATTCTTTAGGCACAATTTTTTTTCACAATTGGAATCTAAAATAAAATAACAAAAGGAGATGACTTATTGTTCATGGTAATTTGTATGGTATTTATTACTAGCTAGAGAACATACATTCATAATATAATCATCCCTATACATTTTCAGAGAAAAATGCATATTCCTAAGGTGCCATGAAAATTGACCCATAGTTCTACTTATCTGATAGAATGTGTGTCTAGTCCACAACTTGATTTATCTGATCTTTTCAATACTATGAATGCAGTCCAGATAATGCTATTTTTATTTTTGTTAACTTTTAAGTTCAGGGGTGCATGTGCAGGCTTGTTACATAAGTAAACGTGTGCCATGTGGGTTTGTTGCTCAGATTATTTAATCACTCAGGTATTAAGCCTAATACCCATTAGGTATTTTTCTGATCCTTTCCCTCCTCCCACTCTCCACCTTCTGAAAGGTCCCAGTGTGTGTTGTTTCCCTCTAGGTGTGTGCATTCTCATCATTTAGCTACCACTTATAAGTGAGAACATGTGGTATTTGGTTTTCTGTTCCTGCATTAGTTTGCATTAGTAACCAATATAGCATGGTACTGATATAAGAACAGACACATAAACCTATGGAACAGAATAGAGAACCCAAAAATAGGACCACACATCTACAACTATCTGATCTTCCACAAACCTGACAAAAACAATGGGGAAACAATTCTCTATTCAATAAATAGTGCTGGGATAACTAGCTAGCCATATGCTGAAAATTGAAACTGGACCCCTTCTTTTTACAAAAATTAACTCGAGATAGATGAAAGACAGATAATACTACTTTTATATTGTCTGTTATCCCACTACAAATTCAAAACTCATTTTGAAAAGTTCAAAGAATTTTCTCATAAGTGAATTAATTGCTAAAATCTATAACAACATGTAACACCCAGGTCCGCTGGATTGCAGAAAATAATGAATCATTCTTTCTCTTCCTCATACCAATTGCTCCTCTCCACTAATACTCGTCTTTTTCTTCTTTATTTTTAGAGCTTAGACTGTATTCCTTAAAGTTAATTGAGCTTTTGATTCAACATTAAATTTTCTGACTTATTGAAGTTTTAAATTCAAATTATTATAGGACTATGTAGGTAATGGAATGCAAATTTTAAAAATAGGTCAGGTGTGATAAAATAGAGAACACATGTCCTATCTAAAGAGGGCAATATCTAGTGAGTTATTCTTTTGAGAATTGGGGCGCAGTTTTGCCAGAACTTAATTTTCAAGAGAAGTCATAATTACTTCAATAACTGGTGGGTTTTGCAGTGAAATAGTCTAATTGTAAATCCTGGTGACTAATTCAAACTTAGTAAGAAACAAACAACTGCAGTACGCAGGATGATACTTAGATTAAATGATATATATTTGTGTGCTGTAGTCAGTCTTAAGTTTTTTACTTCTATGCATTATGGATATAATCAGTGGAATGTGTACAATTACATCATTTTTTGTTCTTCCCACATATTAAAGTATTTGTTTTTCTGAGGAAGCAGAAAAATTCTGCAGTTGCTCCTTGTCAACAATGAAACTAAATCCTGTATAATTTTAATGCATAGCATTTATTCTCAACCGGGCACAATTTTGCCCCCTAGGGGACATTTGGCAATGTTTCCTGACATTTTTGGTTGTCATAATGAGAGGAAGAAGGTCAGGACACTAATAGCATCTAGTGAGTAGAAACTAGGAACACTATTAATCATTCTACAATGCACAAGACAGCCCACAATAAAGACTTATCCAGCACTGAATATCAATAGCACTAAGGTTGAGAAATCATAGTTTATAAGACTCCCTGATCCTCAATATTTCCTAAAATTCCTATGGAAGCATAAGAAATGTATGTACAAGAAATGGAATTGAGATAATTAGATTAAAATGTGTGAAGTGACTTTAAGAAACGTTTCAGGTTCCTGGATACATAACCAAAATGTATAGATCCAGGAGTCTTGCTCCACTTAAATTCAGGAATAATTTAATGGGTCAGATCTCTTACTTGAAAAGTTTCTTGCATTTTCTAGTTCATAATCACTGTGAATTATTTGCTTGTGCTTTCTATAGAAATGTCTATTTCCTATTTCAGGGACAGTGGGTACAGCTGTAATGTTTTTAAGGTTTAAGAGATCACTAGAATTAGTCGGATTTTCTTAATGACTTCTGACAAGCATCAAACTCATCTAGACTGAGGAATTTTGAATTTTAAAAATTTCAGTTCATCTTAATCTATGGCCAAATACACCATCAATTTCACTCAATTTATTCCTTACGTGCAAGATTGGGGAAGCTTAACTTATTTCAAATATCTACTGGTGTCTATATAGATATTCTTGTGGGTTTTTTTTGTTTGGTTTGGTTTGGTTTGGTTTGGTTCTGTGAATAGTATTTAATTAGAGTCACTGATATTTTTACTTTTGCCAGCTTATTTATTTATCCTCCACATAGATGCAGGATTTATGTGATTTCACATTATTTAAATGGTAGCTATAAGCCCAAGAATCCTTGTAGTTCAAAGCTAACTAAAGATTTCAGGCCTTTCCATCTTTCTAAAATTAAAAGACCTTGAAAGAGAAAAATTTTATATTCTAGCCAAGGATAAAAATTATGAGAATTTTTTTTACTATTAGCAATATGCAATCTCTAACATTCAGAAAGGTTAGAAATCAAGGGTTTTGTAAAATTATGTTATTAACTTTAAAAAACAATTTTACCATAATATAGAGATATATGGACATGCTATACAGAGTTGTGAATAGTTCCAGAAAACTGTGGTTCCTTGAAACTTCTGAACATATAGAGTGCAGGGATAGTATAATCACATATCTGTTGCACAAATTCAGGAATACTAGCCCTTCTTTCCCATTTCTTCAAACTCAAGATAATTAATTTAGGACACATAAATTAATGCACTGCTTTATGCCATACAACTTCTGTGGATAATAGCATGGAAGAAAACCATTTTCTCACACAGAATATTCATTAGTGCTCTTTCTTTTGTTTATTCAGGAGACATCACTAATTTATGAAGTTTCAAGTAAAAGGATCAGTTCATATGTGCATATATACAGCTTTATTAATTCTTAAATTATTATGAGTACTTAAATATAGTCGCACTGAATACTAAAAAGAATACAATTCATTCTTAATTAGATCAGCTTGGATTATCTCCACTTTAAAAAAATTATTTCATTAAACCACTTTGAAAGTTTGGATGTCCTAGGCATTTTAATTCAGGTCTGCCTCAGTACTGCCTTTGTATCTGAACATTGGGTCTCCACCTTAGGCCCACATCTCCAGAAATGCACGCTTCCAAGTGCCTTCCTCAAAATTTTCTAAGTCCCCCTCCTATGCCTGGGATGGTTTGGGGCCACCAGTCCCATCTGAGTGTAGTCCAGACTGAGCATAGACATAAATCCTAGCACCTGAATTTTTACTTGGGGTATTTTGCGACACTTTATTCAGTACATAGACTCAACTGGATGCTCTGAGAGGCTCTAGGACTCACTCAATCTATGTGGTCTTTCTGGGTATCATGGTTGAGCATCAGGCCTGTAAAGACAGCCTAGCAAAAATATTGCTTCAGCTGTTTGTTGAGGTATTTATTCCATGGGATCTCACAGAATTGAGCTACCATAATGGTGTGGGCACTTTAACTTGGGTGATTCTCACTCACATTGGAGATAGGATGAGTTAAAGGCTCTGGGCTGCTGATGGACCACCATAGAGCCTTGGGCTCAAGTCACGCATGTGACATATGTGGACTCATTCATTAGCTCTTGCCCTTGTTCCAACCATAGTGTCACCTCTAGTCCCGTGGTGCCTGGAGGGTAGCAGATGACTTTTACCATCCGTCTGCTTTCTGCTAACACTCAAGGAGATCACTCTAGCCCTTTATTAGCAGACTTTATGCACATGTCAAACACTATCTTCTGCAAAAGGTTTAGAGAATCATGCACATAACATCAGTCTTTCTTCGGTTCTTTCTTTTCCTGATAAATGTAATAGGTTATGAGCTCCTGGGTCAGTCTTAGACTATGTCAGACACACATGGATATTCTTTGAACTAATCGTACTAGTCTTTCTCCTTCCCTGGGTCTCTTGCCTACCCAGCCCGCTGGGTGCCGTATGTGGAAGGCAGAGGTCCAGTCCACATTGAAAGATCACATTCTAGAAACGTAGTGAATGCAATGACTACAGTCAAAAGAATACATGTTTGAAGGTTGCATTGTTCTACCATTATACTAGAAAATTTTGAATAATAAATTTAATGTGAAAATGAATTATTATTCAGATTTGCCTGCATACTCTGGGTAAGACTGACAATTGTGGTCATTATGAATTGAACACAGCAACAATCTTTGAGGAAATCATTGGAAGCCAGTGTCTATGGGCAGTACAATAGATAATAGAGCATCATTATTACTGAGTAATCAGCATTACATGAATAGAAATAACAAACTAACTACAGAAGCAAAAAGACCTATATTATTTCAATACAAGTACACTTCAAAGAGCCATAGCATTGTGAGATAGAAAAGCATTGTTGACGATCTTATCATGGGATGGTAACAGAAAATAAATTGGGCATGAATAGTACTTTTGAAAATAAAAACCAAAAAAGATTATTTCTGGACCTGAATAGGAAGAGATGGTGCCTGCACACTTTGAAAAAATGTCTTGTTCACTGGTTGAAAAATAAAGAAATATCTCAATATTTCTCCACCCATAATTATAAATTATCATCAGAAAATCACTATACTTCACAAAAGTCTATGAATTATGCAACAGATTTTTACTCAAATTGCTTATATAATCTGGGGTCCATTACACTCTGGGAGATGGATCCTGGACTAGTCATCTCTCTCATTGGCTATTGCTATACATTTTAAAATACTTTATCAAGAGAAAAGAAAAAGTAAGGTCATAAGGCAGAGAATATGTAGTATAAAGAGATAAAGAGAAGTTAAATATATAAAAATGAAACAATTGTTAAAGAGAAACGTTTCAAATTCAGAATCCATCTTTGATGTGGTTTATTAAGAAAATATTGAAATTTACTTAACTCACTTTTAAAAAACTTTTTCTCTGTGTTTGTATTGTGTGTTTGAATGTTTGTGCATCTGTGTTCTTTCTTTTACTAACAAGCAGAAGATCTTGAAAAGAACATTCTCTGGCCATGAAAGTGTAACTGGTGCCAAACTAGTCCTCCGGCAAAAAACAACTATAAAACTATGAAATATATAAGGCAATTCTTTTCAGAGGACAGCATACAGGGAACAGGAGCACAGATAGGAAAATACATAAGTAAGCCTTACAATCACACTGGCTTTCTTCCTGGAAACACTTTCTAGACCACAGTGCAGAGAGGTGAAAACCCAAACAGAGCACAAGGATTCTTCTTAGCTGGGGAAACAAGGACTACAGTTCTGAGCCATTAAGTTGGTTAGAGTCTGCAGAATAGAAAAAAAGGAGATGCGGAAATTTTGCACAGGGTTCTCTCACTATTTAACCATATACTAAGTTGTACATGCCCTGCGTGAAATTTTATGAGACCTAGCAACAGATATTTGTGACAAATTATGATCTGACATTCCAGCCTACACTTGGCCTCAAATAATATGTTAAATTTTTAACTGATTCTTATTGCTTACCTAGTAGCCATTCTTTCTCCTACACTCTGCCACCCATAAGCTACTCTATATGTGTCATTATCCCTGGAGGGATCATTTTCACTTTTATTTCATGTTACTTGATTGCCCTGCTACTTCAGCTCTTTGATAGGCTCAAAGAGTTAAGATTTTATGGTTTATTTAGCTACTTATAGTTGTTAGAATGGACAGGGCACACTTTCCATTTTTCCACATGCCAGGCAGAAGCAGAAATCTCATTCAATTGATTTTCAATAGAGGTCCCAAAGTAATTAAATTAGGAAATTCTTTTCAGCAAACGGTTCTGAGATAGTTGGATATTCATGTGGAAAAAAGGTGAGACTCAACCACTATTTTATATCATATATAAAAATTATCTTGAGATGGATCATAAACCTAAATTTTAAAGCTAAAGCCCTAAAGCTTCTTGAGGAAAACACAGAAGAATATCTTTATGGCTTACCATTAAATGCTGATTTCTTAGACTGGACACAGAAAGCAAAGGCATAAATTTTTTAAAATGCTAAATTGTACTTCATTAAAATTAAAAATGTATGTTCATTGAAAAAGACACAATGAAGACAATAGATAGGCAAACCACAGACTGGGAAAAAATATGTGAAAAACATCTAACTGACAAACGCTTACAGTCGCTTTAGATAGATAGATGATAGGTAGATAGATAGATAGGTAGATAGATAGATAGATACTACCACTTGGCAGTAAAAAAGCAATATACTCCATAAAAAAAAAAAACAAAAAAAAACAGGAAAAAGGCTTGAACAGACACTTAAGGAAGAAATACGATTGCCAAAAAGCACATGAAAAGGTTAAAATTACAATAAAACATTAATAAATAATGTCCAACAGCCCTAAAATTAAAATAACATAACAACAAACATTGGAAAAGATATAGAGCTATTAGAACCCATAAATTCCTGGAAGGAGTGTAAACTACCTTGGGAAAGGACTGTCAATTCCTTAGGAAGTTAAACGTTAGGTCTATACTATTACCCAGCACTTCCAGTCCTAGGTATTTCCCAAGCAAAATAAAAACTTCAACCTACTGAAAATCAACAAAATGTTCATAGCAGCTTTTTCATAATTGCTAAATGAAGCAACTCAAATATTCACTACCATGAGTGCCTACAAATGTCCTTTAATGCTAAAGAATTCTTTATTACTACAAGGGAATTCCACTAGCCAAAGCTGTCTACCCTCAAATTTTGACTGAGATGTTTAGATATTCTCCCATTTTTTCTTAATAACTAGAACATTGGCTACCTTAGACACTCAGTGTAAGCTATCTTCCATATAAGATCAAGGAGACAGCATCACAGTAACATAAACCATCCTCCTAATGACTTCTGCTGAGCTATGTATGAGAATAATGAGAGTGGAGAGTAAGCAAAGGCTAGATCACCAATGGCTTTGTGTTCTGTGCTAAGCCGTTTGGATGTCATAACGGGGGCAACAGAGAGCCATTAAAGGGTTGTAAGCACATCATATCAGGTTCAGATTGACATTTCACAAAATTACTTTCACAAACTGAAATACTGCAAATTAATGGCAGGAAAAGAAACTAGGGATATGTTGCTACAACCTAGGAGTAAGAAAGAAAAAAAAAAAGTAGAGGCAATATGGCTAATGACTGTATCTGAGAGATATTGAGGAGGCAGAATCAAAAAGATTTGTCAATGTTTAATATGGTGGTGAGGAGGAGGAAAAAACAAAGTATATATTTTGTGAGACGGGAAATACACAAAGTTATAAGAGTAGATTCAAAATGATTAGCTCCGTTATTAATTTACTGAGTTTTTGTTCTCCACATAATGGCCAAGTGGAAGTGATCACTAAAGATCTGAGGCTTCAGGAGATAGAAGCTGGAGACACTGCTTAGGAAGCCATGAGCATTTAAAGCTGTCTTTCTTTTGCTGTGAAATACTGAGCAAGTAACTGCCTAGAATGAAATGTTTTGAACCCATAGGAAATTCATTATTAAACCTCAGGTATTTAAGTCTATTATCCAAATTAATAGACTAAAAAAGCATTAGTAATAAGTTATATAAAACATATGAACCACTAGAAACTGTAAACATCCATTCTAATATCTTTAAAATATCTCTACATATTCTTTCATAACATTCTTCTCTTAATTCAACCAAATGTTGTTTTCTAAATGTTAATAGTGCTGGGTTTTGCATGAGAAAAATGTCTGTAGACCAATTTTCAAAGAGTTGATCCTCGAATTCTCCAAGCTGTATCGCATTATTTATTTATTTATTTATTTATTTATTTATTTATTTATTTAGATGAAGTTTTGCTCTTATTGCCCAGGCTAGAGTGCAGTGGCGCAATTTCTGCTCACTGCAACCTCCGCCTTCCGGTTTCAAGCGATTTTCCTGCCTCAGCCTCCCAAGTCACTGAGATTACAGGAGGCCACTACCACGCCCAACTAATTGTTTTGTATTTTTAGAAGAGGCGGAGTTTCACCATGTTGGTCAGGCTGGTCTCGAACTGCTGACCTCGTGATCCACCCACCTCGGCCTCCCAAAGTTCTGGGATTACTTTTTTTTACACTCTATGTTAACAGTATAGGACATTCGTAGTTTTTGCCAAGTGGAAGATCTCTTCAAAAATTACCAGTAGGCCATGTAGACCTGTCTAAGAACGCAGAGGAAGGATAATGTAATCCTGACACATTTGAGATTCTTGGTGGTGTTTACCAGCTAAAATAGTACAGATCCCTAAAATATGAGTACCCCAAGAGTTCAGCAAAGACTTTCTGACAAAAATAGCAATAAAAATTAAGACATAGGCCAGGCGCGGTGGCTCACGCCCCTAATCCCAGCACTTTGGGAGGCCGAGACAGGTGGATCACCTGGGGTCAGGAGTTGGAGACCAGCCTGACCAGCATGGTGAAACCCCCTCTCTACTAAATACAACAAAATTAGCCAGGCATGGTGGCACATGCTTGTAATCCCAGTTTCTTGGGAGGCTGAGGCAGGAGAATTGCTTGAACCTGGGAGGCAGAGGTTGCAGTGACTGGAGATTGCACCACTGCACTCCAGCCTGGGCAACAAGAGCAAAACTCTGTCTCAAAAAAAAAAAAGAAAATTAAGATATAAATTGAGAGAAAAAAACAATTAACCCACCATGCCACTGAAGAATACCCTGGAAGAATGTGTGTGTGTGTCTGTGTGTGTATCTTTGTGTGTGTGTGTCTGTGTGTGTGTGTCTCTGTGTGTGTGTGTGTGTGTGTCTGTGTGTGTGTGTTTGTCTGTGTGTGTGTGTCTGTGTGTGTCTGTGTGTGTGTGTGTGTCTGTGTGTGTGTGTGTCTGTGTGTGTGTGTGTGTGTGTGTGTCTGTGTGTGTGTGTGTGTCTGTGTGTGTGTGTGTCGTGTGTCTGTGTGTGTGTGTGTGTCTGTGTGTGTGTGTCTGTGTCTGTGTGTGTGTGTGTGTGTGTCTGTGTGTGTGTGTGTGTCTGTGTGTGTGTGTGTCTGTGTGTGTGTGTTCAGGCACATGAACAACATTAGCAACTTGGAAGAATTGAAAAAAACCAACCAGCATTTCAGAATTTTTCTCAACCACTTACCAGGTGATCAAAGTAGAACCTTCTAAAGAAGTAGATTGTTCTTTTTCTCTTGTATTGGACATATAGGTAAACCTTAAACCCATATTTTCTGGGCTTGGCTTCTGGTAAAAATAAATTAATAAATAAATACATACATAAATAATTTGTTGTTTTCTGAAACTTTGGCTTGCATGACCCTTCCATTCTTTCCCTGTTCAGAAGTCACTTTTATACTATCTAAAATAATGGTAATCATTCTGCCAACAGTAATCATGAAAATATAAACTTAATGTGGATAAAATTATGCTCTTTAAAAATATATTCTCTGACATCACATTTTAAAATATACTTTTCATTTAGGAATTTGGACTATTGGTGCTGGAAAAAAAAATCATGACTGGTAGCAGTCTGAATATATTATAAATTTACTTACAGTATACTACAAAGATATTTTAAAAAATGATGTGCCCAACAGCAGTAACTAAAAGGTTAGTTGAATTTCCTGGAGTAGAAAGGAATTCTGAACAAATCCTACTACTCTAAAAAGATTGAAAATTGTGGTCTTCGTGAATTATTTAAAGAAAATAAAATTTACCTTCATTAAATATATCTAAGCATTATCCAAGAAATCACTGTTCTAAGAGGTGCAATCTGAAATTTCCTCATTGACATTTAAACAATGCCTTTCCACATATCTACAGTTGAGAAAATAATAGATTACACCATATGTTCTTATCTGGTTCATGCCCCCGAAGGCCTAGAGAATGGGCATGTTTTTTATAAATCTAAACAAATTAAATAAATGTTTGCACTTGTAACTCTGTTACCTTTTAGCAAAAAAATAAATTAGTGCCAGGGGAGCCACAAAGTTAAGAGACTCTGTAAACAAAAGAACAGAAGGCTGTCTACGTCTTCACACCAAATTAACAGAACACAAAACATGTTACCACAGATTATTCACAGGTTAGAGAAATAGACAGTTAAATTACTGCAGTTTATCTAGATAGATTGCATATAAAAACATTTCTAAATTTCATTTCTTATTTTAATCATTAATGGGAAAATGTGACAAAAACTTCAAGTTTCTCAAAAAAATTTAATATATTTTGAACAGCAAAATTAAAGAATCTTGAATATTCTACTCTAAACGTATTTCAGCTTCTGCTTGTGATAAAAATCCAAATACACGTTTCTTCTTCCTGTATCATCTCACTACACACCAGCATGTATGTCTGAACCTCAGTCTTGTGTCCCACACTCTTGGAAATCACAATTACATTCCTCCTAAGGTCCATCACTTTTTAAAAAATTTTGCTGCAAATAAAATTAGTCAAGTTTCTAATTCACATACTATAAGAAATCAATACAAATTAATAGGCATATAAATTTTTCTTCCTATTTGTTGAATTTGTTGTCTTTTATCTACATCAAGATTTTCTCTGATGAATCTATGTACTAAGTAGATTTAATTCTTAGGACAGTTATCATCTCCAAATTGGAATCAATATTGTAATGACTCAATTATGTTTCTTTCTTACTTGACTCTCACACAGTCATGTGATGTGATTTATTTTGGGCCACTCAGTGCAAGTTATTTAGGGAAGTCTCACTCCCCCAAATCCCCCTTCTCTCTTTTACTGATCATGGCCCTTGAAGGACGTTTATTTCCAGCACTAGCGGCAGCGTGTGCACTTATCTCTCTTAATACTCACAATTTTTACCTGAATTACTTCATAGCCCAGAGAAAACATCTCAGAAAAGAAACTAAAATTTCCATTGTAAAGATAATTAATAAATTGTCTGGGGAGGTTTCAAATGCTGTATGAATTCATTTAAATCACCCCAAAATAAAAAGTCATACTCAACAAGAAGAGGCTCAAATCCATGTCAACAAAAGCACATCAAAGATACACGACATTCCCAATCAGGACATTTTAAGCAACACTAGTCATTAAAGTTTCAGTCATTCAACTTATTCAGTAAATTTCTAAAGCTGATATTATGCCACACCTGAGGGCTAGTTGATTTCACACATTATCTATAGCTCTCATTTCTCTCCTTTCACTGGCAAAGTATAGTACATATCAACGTGCTTCCTGAAAGGAAGGAAAGCCTCTTTTGTCTAATCCTGAAATAGAGGCAGCTGAAGAGGAGGAAGTAAGAACAAGAAGCCATACTCTCTTATCTCTCCGTAAGTTCATAAAGTGTTTTTTCTTTCTCTCTCTTTTTCTCTCTTTCCCCCTTCCTGACCTCTCTCTCCTTTTTGTTTTTAAAGAATCACAATCTTCAGGCCAGAAGTGTATGTGTAAGAATTAGAACGCAGTCTTTTCAGATCTCCCCAATGGACAGGTACCAGTATCTGTGCCCTCCCCCTTCTTCTATCAGAACTTCCCGACAGTTGTACCACAGTGCACCTGTGCTGGAAATGGCTTACAGGTGTAATAAAATTTTTAAATTTTTAAAATTTTAAATTATTATAGATACATAATAGTTGTGTGTATTTATGTGGTAAATGTAATATCTTAATAAAAGCATACAATGTGCAAGTGTAATAAGGTTTTGATCTTCTCATTCTTTGGAGTGGCTGGCTAGGGCTTGTTGTAGAATGCCCTTAGCTGGTTGCCTTTGCAAATATTTTAAATTTTTAGGAATGCCATGGTTTGTAAAAAGTTTGGAAGTACACATACCCAATTTTCTACATCTTCCTGGGCCAGTAGAATCTTTGTCTAGTATAGAGAGGAAAGGGGATTAGGAAACAAATTGACACTGACTGATCTCATGTTCTTCAAAATCACCTTTTAATGATGTAAACTTCAGTCTGTGTCCTCCAGGAAGTAATTCTAAGGATGAAAATTAACTTTTTTTTCTGCCTTTATGAGGTGATGATTTTCACTAAGTGAGAAAGACTTTAAAGACTTCAAAGGAATTGCCAGGAACCAAATACAGTTTGATTAGTACATGACAATAATATCTTCTATCTTTATGCAGTATCTTCATCAAGAATCAATAATAATTGCAAGCTATTTTCAAATAGCTTCAGAAAAAAAACGCGGGGAGGGGAAATGGATTTATGCAACAGAGACATCGCCAATGGCAAATGGTATAATGAGTCTTTTGTGGGGCTAGAACCAAGGTTACTCTCTCAGTCTCTTTTGTAACACTTGATCTTCTTTCTAGATTTTAGGTTTATTCTTCCTTCAGTCTTCTCTTGTGCGCAAGATATTTTCCTAGTTAATTTGCTCTTACATACTTGGAGAAGACAATGTTATACCTCATCTCTCTAGAAACCTCTAACACCTTCTCATATCTTACTCTCAACTGATAAACTTACCTCATCTTACACTAAAAAATAAAAGCAATCAGAAAAGCGTATATTCCTCTACCATCATACTGACCAACTGTCCTCCAACTGTCCTGTGTCTGTCCCAATATATACTGACTCTATTCTTGTTAGTGTGGATGAATTGTTCCCTGTCTATAGCCAACCCCTTCATCTCAAGGATATCCTCTCAAGGATATCAGTCTAACAATTATTCCCTCTCTCTTGTGTCATCATTTTCCTATACTCTTCAAAATTATTCCCATAGTTGTACATATATTCAAGTTAAAATGTCTTAAAATATTCCATCTTAAAAATTATTTAGACCAACAATCGCCTTATGGCTTATAACCTCTCTCCATCTCCTTTCAAAAAAACTCTTTGTACCAATTGTCTACACCCACTGTCTTTACTTCCTTTCTTCTTATTCTCTCTTGAACTCACCTCAAACATCCTTTTGTCTCCACTAATCCAGTAAAACTGCCCTGATAAATCACTCTGCTGAACTCTAGACACGTATCCTGGTATCTACTTAATATATTCGTTTCCATGTCTAATAGGAATCCTAAATTTAGCATGCCCAAAACCAAACTCTTGATTCTGTTGCCCACTTCAACCTCCTGCTAACTTGTTTTTCCCCAAGTGTTCTCATTACCATAAATGACATCATATTCACTTAGCAGATTTACCCAGTAAATCTATTTAGCTAACACCTCACATCTAAACCATCAGTTCCTCTCAGCTCTACTTTCACAATATATCTTGAATGTAGGCATTAGCACATCAACCACTGTATTATTCCATACTCATATTGCTATAGACATACCTGGAACTGGGTAATTTATGGAGTAAAGAGGTTTAATTGTCTCACAGTTCTGTAGGCTATACAGACTTCTGATCTAGGCAGCCTCAGGAAACTTACAATCGTGGCAGAAGGCAAAAGAAAAGCAGGCACCATCTTCACATGTCAGAAAAGGAGAGAGAGCGTGAGAACAAAGAGGGAGGTGCTACACAGTTTTAAACAACCAGATCTCATGATAATTCACTCAATATAACAATGAAAGCAAAAGGGAAGTCCACCCCATGATCTAATCTCCTACCACGAGGTCCCCCTTCAACAATGAGAATCAGAATTTGACATGAGATTTGTGTGGGGACACAGAGCCAAACCATATTAATCTGGGCCTGGTCCTTCTCAGATCTCATGTCCTTTTCACACTTCAAAACACAATCATAGCTTCCCAACAAGCCCCCAAATTCTTTACTTATTCCAGCATTAACTTAACAGTCCAAGTCCAAAGTCTCATCTAAGACGAGGCAAGTCCCTTCTGCCTATGAATCTGTAAAATAGTTTTTAAAAGTTAATTAATTCTAAGATACAATGGGGGTACAGTCATTGAATAAATGCTCCCATTACAAAAAAGAAAAATTGGCCAAAGCCAAGGGACCACAGACTCCATGCAAGACTGAAACCCAGCAGGGCGGTCTTTAAGTCTTAAGGCTCTGAAATAATCTCCTTTGATTCCATGCCTCACATCCAGGTCACACTGATACAAAAGGTGGCCTCCAAAAGACTTGGGCAGCTCCAACCCTGTGGCTTATAAATGGAAACAGAAACAAAATAAGGTGCTAACACTGGTAAAGAGTAAGATAATGGCTTAGATTTAGGTGATAGTGGTTGATATGGTTTGGCTCTATGTCCCCACCCAAATCTCATGTCAAATTATAATCTCCAATGTTGAAAAAGGGGCCTGGTGGGAGGAAATTGGATCATGGGGCAGACTTCCCCCATGGTTCTACAAGCT